AGCGTTCTTGCTCCTAGTAGCGATGCCAGGAGCTCCTAGTAGCGTCCTTGCTCCTAGTAGTAAGGCCAGGAGCTCCTAGTAGCAAGAACGCTACTGGGAACCTGCAGCCACTCCCCTGTTTTGTATGGCCCCAGCTTTGGATCCCAAGCATTCTAGTGCCCAGCTGCTTTGGCTGCCCAATGCATCTTCTAAAGACACAAACCAGCAAACTCTGGCCTTCACCATACTTACTGACACAGCTTGAAGAGCCTGCATATGCCTCTATGGCAACCATTTAGCCAAGTCTCTCTTGTACATGAGCTGGCTGTAGGATTCGGTCGTCAACTCCTCCTCTTCTCCTTCTTCTTCACCGTCCTCAACGTCCTCTTCCTCTTCTGATTCACTGATAATCCGCTGAAATACCATGGCCTGTGCTTCCAAGGCGCAAGCATAGGCCTCTTCCTCGGCCTCACGGTGCACGCGCAGCACCAAGGCATCGTTGAGGCACTTGGCGAAGGTGTCCACGGTGGGGGCAGGTGGCCAATCGGGAGAAATTGCACACTCTTCACGGTCCTGGCCGAAGAATGAGCGTTTGGTTGACACAAACATCTGGAAGGTTCTTAGTTCTTTTGGTTTGTGATGAATATACATTCATATGCACACATGTGAGAGCAGTGTCTCTTTACAAACATATCACATATCTATCTGTATCTATCGATGTGTGCATTCCGTGTCTATAACTGTTTTTAATGCAAGTGAGGGTGCTTCGCTGACACCCTGCAGCACTTCCCCAATAGTGAAGGTGGATGAGCCCCAACCATCATGTAGTATTGTTTGATCTCTTATGATGAAAGGGCCGCTTTCAGCCATGTGACACTGACTCGACTCATCCGCACCTCATCATCTTCATAGCAAATCTCCGGCGGCTCAGGTTCATCTGCGAAGCCTCTTAACGTCAAGGCAGCTTCTCTTTCTTCGGCAGCGTCCGCCAGCCTTGGCGCCCACTATGTCGCATAGGATGAGCCAAGCACCGAAAGAACAGTATTGAGAGCTTCGATGAGCTGGGTGGGTGTGGCAGTCAATAGCGCACATATATCTATGTATATGTAAAATATTGGGCTTCCATGATTGCTCATGTTGTAATAGGTGCCGCTCCTGTAACTCTGCTCCAATGCGCAATAGTCATGGTACGCAGCAGTGTGTGGCAAATATGAAGTAGCAAATTCTACCATAGGATGCACACTAACGAAAATTGGGGAAGCTAAAACTCTTGTCATATGCAAAGTCTCTTTTCACCCGCATATTGGTCACAAGGCTCTTGCAACAACAAAGCTGTTCTCAAGGTTCGGGAAACTCTTGAATTGGCCGGGGAACACACTGATTGTAGCATCAGTCTTGACAGCACATCTCTTACTATAGCGGATTCATCGCTTAAACAACTGCGCGCTCGCTCCGCAAGCCATCCCAAGCCAAAAGCCCCAGGCAACAAGCACAACACAACCTATGGAGATTTAATCCGTACTCATTGTGGCCCAGTGTCCTCACTGGCCTTACTTGTCAACTAAGTCCCTCAAACCCTAAAGCGTACACCGTGCTACAACATTTCGTCGAATGTCAGCTCTGCCCTATCCACTTGGCGTTGCCACGATGCATCTAAAGGCTGTCAAGGTGCGTGTTCACACGCCTCGGTGCTCCGCTAGGAACCCCGTGGCTTTGGCAGCCTCGCACCCGGAAGAAGCGCAGCGCCGAGGCTGCCGAGGCCTGGTTGGGCTTTGCGCGCGAAGCTCTCGGCGACCTGGACTCGCTCGAGTCTTCCCGCGAAGATCTCGACGAGCTCGAGCTTGAGTGCCTTGAAGCTGAGTCACTCTGTACCTCGAAGCGAACCGATCGGCATAAATCTATGCATTGTATATATATCATTGTATGTGACTACCAATGTAGTTGCGCATAAAAATAACCACGTCATAAACAATAGAATAGAATCAATCTGATTCAATTGAGTCGCGTTTGCAGGCTGGTCATTGTTGTCGCCGTCACGATCGCTCTTTTCTGATGTCTCCGACTCGGAGCTGTTGTTCTCCCCGGCATGTTGTAGGAAGACCTCCTTCCACACTGACCACGCGCCTTTCCGGCGAGGTGTTCTGAGCGTCCCACACAGCTAAAAGCACTACTTCAGAATGGCTCTTTGAAACAAACAGGCTGCAAGGTAAGTAACTATACATCTGTGCGTGTGTCTAGAACTCAATAGTCCACATGCTCATAAAGGGGAAAACTTCCTCCTTTGCTCCTTTCACCCAAGCATGGTTACCTGCTTCCTTCAATCGCTCTGGCTTGGCTGTCATGTGGTTACCCCGCCGAATCGACATGTGATGGTTTTGTCGCTGCAGCGCCTTCCAGCGATTCAACTGCATCTTCATACCTGACAACTCTGAGACACCTGGACCTGCCAAAGGTCTCCAACCTACTAGCGAACCATATAACATGCCGCTTCCAAGACTTCTCCCATTTCATCACTAATTCAAACGAATGTAGGAGCAAGTGATAGGTCGTGCTGTGCCTACCCAACGCGCCAAAACGGCTATCTATCTTGCCAGCTGTCATGGCCCCAAGTTTTAGCAGAACCAAAGGGGGGCCATGGTGCTGCAAAAGCATGAAATGGAAACCAAAACGTAAAGTTCCCGAGAGGCACTCCCCAACATTTTGCCAGCAGAACGGTTGCTTGTATGGCACATGTCCCCATGTTGGCCACACTAGCCCCCCAGCAACAGATTTTGGACATCAGTGCTCAACCCCAGGCTACACACAGCAAACTCATGCACTGAAAATGTCCGCCCCTTTATTACCCAACATGCAGAATGATTTGTGGAGCTTCTTTGCTTTTCTTTGCTTTCTCCCTTGCATCTTAGGAGCTCGCACCGCTCCAAATGTGTGAGCCCTTGGCCTCGCACAAGGAAGGCACGATGGTGCGATACTGAAGGACCAGTTTAGGAGCCTAGCAGGCCTACTATTAATGGCTCTCCTTTTGGCTTCACCAAAGCAGCCCACGATTGTGTTCAGGGTGGAAGACTCAGATTGAAAAGCGGAGGTTTTACACTTTGTGCATGAGGTGTAGGGGCCCATGTATACAATGTCCCACAACCACGGGCACTGACTTGTTCTTCTGAGGTCTCACGCCACTCCTGGCAGATGCAAGAGGATTGAGAATATACGTTTCCATGAACTCTCGCTTCTCAATACCTTTGCATGGAGCAAAACTATGTCACCAGCGGATTTGAAGCTGGATGATGGGTGCTGAGCAGCCGAGCGGCCATACGCCGCGTGTCCCACCAAATAGCGGTTGTTCTTATCCCCTTGCCGGCTCGGCATCAAGTGCTCCACCGCTCCAAAGGCACGAGCTTCACGGTCGCGGCGCATGGCTATCACGTGGTCACTATGCCGGGGGATAGGAAAAGGAAAATGGAGGCCACTCGCTCAAAGGCTGCCACGGGGGGGGCGAAGTTTCACACGTGGCTCCTTGCTGTACTGCCAAGATAAGCTTGCCAGCCACATATTATACCTGAAGAAGGATGAGACAAGCAACTTGACAAACAAACCCAAGATGTGCAAACCCCTCTTGGTTGTGAACCCCTGGTAAAAGAGCAAGTCAAGACAATGATCTCTGACAACCTGTTATATCATGTGTTGGTCATTGCGCCTTGATGGATGGAAAAGTATAAATCGTAGCATCTCATCACCTCTAGGGCATGATGAGTATGTTGAGCTGCTGCACCGGTTGCATCAGCACCACCTTCAAAAGACACATGGTCTTATCATGATGGTAGAATGATGTAGAATGAATGAGCCCCACTCTTCGAAGTAGCGGGGAACCACTGTTTTGTGACAGGAAAGCATGTCTATGCATGTTTGCATTAACCTGCTATGCTGGCTATGCTCATTCAGCTACTTCATGGCCACAAAATCCCAGCGTTCTCGACTGCAACGACCGGACGGCAGCCTGAAGCAGTCAATCCCTCTCAAACATCCATTCCAACCCTCTGAAACAGTCGAATGGAATCGCTCTTAGGCTGGAGAGCCATTCCTGGTAGGTTGGAGGCCGTCGCTCTTAGGTTGGAGGCCATGGCTCTTAGGTTGGAGGCCAAATACCAGTCTAGTAGAAAACCACAAGGAATCAACGGGAATCAACAGATATCAATGTCGAATCTCACAATGCCTCTGAATCTCCAAGTGCTTCTACAACAAAACATAACAAAACCCTTCGATATCAAAAATGCAAGATATCAACACATGTGACAGGAACATGAGCCAAAGGGATCATTCTCTGCTTAGAGGTCGGGTATTAGATCGGCCTGCACTGATCTGCCAAACTCCACCGTTTTGCTGAGCACCTCACTGCTGGGATCTTACAGCGCCTCATTCGCACCAGGGCATTTTGCATCAAAATCGTACTGCACCCCATGCACCTCAAGCATCAGCTCTACCGCAGCTCGAACTGCGCCCAGCTTTCTTCAACAATCTCGCTGGTTTCGAAGCAGAAGCTAAGTGGCTTAGCACTGCCTACACTGGCAATTCGATTAAAAAAGTGATTTCGGATTGCCATGTCAATCTGTACAAACATGAAGGGGAGCCAGCATCTTTTGAGGCACCGTTCTGTCAACCAATATCAGCCTGATGAGCTCTGCGTTCAAGACCTGTGCCATCCTGTGTCAGTGAAAAAGGTGAAAGCCCACTGAAACACGTCGTAGCAAGAACATCCATGCGGCTTGAACTGTTGCCCGGCCAGGGCAGCACAAACGGAGCCAATGCATAACGAGACTCAGCTCTGTTAGAGGCACTAGCTCACTAGCGTGCAGCCCTTCTTGGGCTGTGCAATACTTACTAGAGGGCCTCCCAGGAAGCTTCTCCAAGGCATGTCAAACAACTCATTAATGCAAGTCTATATCTTGTTTTTTTTTTTCCGCTCTTTTGGCCAATGAGTCGACATGGTCAAATATGGATCTTAAAACATTCTCGAGCGCAAGCACTCAAGCTAGATGATGGCGCAGCTTTTCCAGCTGAGCACATCCGCCGTTGACCAGCCACAGGATGCAGGCTGTAATCAAGCACCACACACTTGAACCAACTACGCCTCTTGCGATGGCGATGAAGGCAAGAAATGCGCCACAAGTGGCAACTGTCGAAAACACAATGAACATAATAAAAGTTTCAACGAAAGCTAAGCATGCTACGCCAGGCCTACAAGGACGGGCAAACCGTTCACAAATGTACAACGCCAGCTGAATCATCAAAAGGAGCCAGCATGTGTCAATCCCCAGAACAACGCCAATGAAGTACGAAAGAGTGATGTTCATTGGCACACCTGCCTTCAGGAGGCTCACGGATGAACTCAAACCGGTTCCCAAAAGGGGTGTGATGATAATGAGGCAGTAGCCGAGAGGAATCCTGGCAAGGTGGTCTTTCATCAACTCCTCGCGGAGTGGTCCTCGCACATGTTCCGTAAAGGCTGCAGCACCCCCATACCATTCAGCAATGGCCGCATGCACAAACTTCTTGTCAAAGTCCACCCGGCACTCCACAGCGTCTAGATCAAAGTTCTGAATGTCACCTCAGTCCACGGACTCCAAGACTCTAAGGCTTTCTAGTAACTAGAAGCTACTAGGTGGAGGCCATCGCTACTAGTAACTAGAAAGCTTTCTAGTAACTAGAAGCACCTCAGTCCACAAACTCCAAGACTCTAAAGGACTCATGGCTGAACTGAGCTCCAAGTAAGTGCCACTTGCTTACGTAGCTGTGCCAACTTAGCGTCTTTGCTCCTTTTTGTTCATGTTTTGTGATTGACCTGACTGACCTGCCCACACACGACAGCCCGCAAAGCCCAAAAAGCCGCACTTGGCTCACACCAGGCAAACAAAGCACAACAGCATCCCTTGGTTCACCTTCAAACAAGGTCATAGGAATGAGACGGACCCCTGGTCTTCTTGCAAATCAATGCCCGAAATCACCGAAAACACACAGGCCATGTGCTAAAGGCCCTTGAGGAAAAATCAAGCGGGCCTTCAGTTTTGCGCAGTGCACTCAAAGTCTCAGACTGTAGCAGTGACGTGGGATGTGCTGCAGTGTTCTATACCCCTTTTCTCTCTCTCTCTCTCTTGCATTGCTTGACACTCCCCTTTCAAGAATGAGTTCATCCACAGCAAGTTTGTTCACCACTCAATGTTACAAAGGACTCAGACCTCCGTGATTGCGTTATTTAAGACATCCGCTGCACCACAGTCCAGTCAACCGCAATACCAAGACAATTGCACTGCATATCTGCATATATATATATATATTACATCGCTCTACGTTGCTATACCATATCGTTTTGCATAGCGATGGCCTCCATGTGCTACTACCAAGGACACCCAACAACAAACCGGTGAAGCCCAGCCCACACAATCTCAGTGAAAACTGATGGCAAGTTGCCAAATAGCTGCTGCTTCGATAGAAAATTCTTCCCTCAAGGTGCGATGCAAAACAATGAAACAGCGTATATAAGACTAGCCCTTCGATGAGGCATTTGCCAATGACTGCTACTATAATTCATTCTGATAAGGATCCTGAATATTTGGATCATCGCCATTAAGAGCGACAAATAAACTGCCCAAACTAGACTGTGTATGTTGCCCTTGAACATCTTCGACTTGCAAATCCGACCCCCGGTTCTTAAAGTAGAAGCGACATCAAGCATTCCTTCAGCTGAAAAGGATTGGCACTGGTCCCTCAATATTTCCGCTCTTTAACTACAGACTCCTAGAGGTCTTTGCACAGATCCAACCGAGTCTTCGAAGGGCAGTCGGGCCTACAAATCTGCACTTAGTGCATTCTCCACCTTTTCACTTCTTTCACCCGACGACAATATGCCAGCGCAACACTGTTCCAGCCCGAGCTTGCAAAGTACCCTTTCGTCATGTTTTGGCATCCAAAGGGTTTTCCATCCCTCGAACATTGCAATCCGCTCATCCGATTGCAATCCGGGCTCTGAGGGAATGGAAAATGAACAGGCACGGCACCATCGCGATAATCCTCAGGTGGTGCTCAGGTGTGACAAAAAAGGCTCCCCCTCTTGAGGTCGTGCAAGACTGAATCTCCGCCCTCTTTGGTCTATGACAAAACTCAGCGATTAACACCCCCCATTGGCCCATCCTTGCTTTGGGCGCAACAAATTGATCAAACCGAGTCAAATCTCAATCGAAACTTGTGGCCAAGAGGCAGCGTGAAGATTCCAAAGGTTGCTCCGATCGTGGTGAATGCCATGGTGAGATTCAGAAATGCGTTCGTCAGCAAGACGCCCGTCCAACTTGCAAGCACCGTGATTTCTACCTTAGTGCATCTTAGGAGCAAGGAGGCTACTAGGGGCTCCTGGCCTTACCACTAGTGTTGTCAAGATGGTAAGGACATGCCGAGGTGATCCTACAAGCCATGGCCAACCCTGCTACTATACCTCATCTTTCGCTACACAAGGAGCGATCATGAAGAGAAAAGAATGCAATTGAGTTTCACTGTAAGTGACTGCCCCTTCCAGACAACTAATGGTGCGTGAGGAGCTCCTCTGCACTGAGGACTTGCAACTAGTAGTAAGAATGCTCCTAGTAGCGATGCCAGGAGCCCCTAGTAGCTTCTTGTTCCTAGTAGTAAGGCCAGGAGCCCTTAGTAGCATTCTTGCTCCTAGTAGCGATGCCAGGAGCTCCTAGTGGTGTCTTGTTCCTGAATCTGCTAAAGCTTAAGCCGATCTACAAACAAAGGCCTCACCGAGATTTTGCCGTTGGGGTTCGCCATGCGGTATGCGGCCACTTCAAAGATGCACCACAGCCTTGGGTTTGCATATGCTAGCTCGTGCTAGCAGCGGCTAGCAGCTAGCACATGGCCCAAATATGACTTTCATTTACATGTTTCAATTTGAGCTTGCCAAGTTTGTTTCATGTTTTCAGGTTTCCTAGAATTCCAGATACGAAGCGCACCAGCGGTTGACTCAATAAAGAAGTACCAGGATAGTTAAGGTGCCGAGACAAGTATGGAGGGCTCCACATTATGCGAAGTTCCTTGGAGGCCTTTAAGAAACCTCCAAGGCCATAAATGCCACGTTCCTTCAAGGTCTCATCTGATTGATTGATGCTGGCCACATCCAGAAAGCAATGCTTGTCTCGCATGCAAGGCATGTAAGGAGTGATGAGAAAGCACATCACAGAGACAGCAGGTGCCAGGCTTGATCCCCAAATGTGCCAATCAATTTCGGCCGCGTAGTTCCTCGCCGTGCTCAAGGCTTGCCGCCCGCGAAACAAGAAAGACTCAACCACATGTTTTTATGTTTTTGTTCTTTATTTCTTGTAGGCCGTGGCGTGTGGCCCTGCCTCCTTACTTATTTAAGCAGGCGCCTACTTAACGACGGAGGTAAGCTGCAGAACTGGACGCAGGATAGCTCACGTTTCTTTAGGGAAGCTCCCCTCGAACTAAACATTTGGCTCCTAGATTGTTAGGGAAACTTAATATTGGGTGTTTCAAGGAAAGGCAAGGCTTGTGCGAATAAGGCTCTGATGAACATAGGAGACCTTCCAAGGCTTTGCAAGCGGAGGCAAAATGTCCACAAAGAAGAGAAGCTCCTCGGAGCTTCAAGGAGAAAGCGACAAAATGAACATAAGTTCCTCTTCTCTAGACTGAAACAGAGTCCACACATATATATCCTAAAGATCCGCAAAGTTCACTTGACTATCATTCCACCCCACCACATTCCACCTCACTGCAAGTGACTGCAACCTCATAGACTCATGAAAAACACGGTCTTTGCAGATGGGGTTCGAAAAGCACCATGGCCAAAAGCCACCATAGCAAGATCTGCAGCCAGCTGAGCTGCAAGGATAGGGAGAGAAACTTCCAAAGACCTCTCCTGCAGTGCCCGAGCCCCCCTCCCTGCCTCCGCGATACCCTCCGCCCGTGCACCGGGGAAATATTGCAAATGAATGAAGGAATCGGAAAGAAACCCATTACACTGGCCAAACAAAAGTTGGTGTGGGCGGTCAGTTTTCACACCTGGAAGCCTTTTATTAATATAAATAAAACGGCATGACAATTGACCGTCCCACACCTGCCACAAAATTTGGACTTGGTAATTCGATCCGCAGCCCACCCTACAGCGTTGTTTGAACATGCTTAACGAGCATAAACTGTTGTCTGCCTGAAGTATTGGACAAAAAAGGGGGTTCTGCCTCCAACCCCACAATCTCACCGTGGTTCGCTGTTGTCTGTTGGGTGATGTTGGGTGAATCAAGGGCTGAACTCTACAGGATCATATTTGGTGTTGAGACGGATCGTTCCGAAGAGACTCGATTCACTTTGAGTGGGTCAGAAATGGCCAACCTAAGAGTTACTCTAAGAAGGTGGACAGGTCAACCGTGAACGCGTCAGCTTCCGCCAAGCTTCGTGTGCCATGTATGCGATAGGAACACATCGAATTCGTTCACTTTTCTCGTGCGGTTCCAAAGCTCTAACCGCTGCTCATCTTTCATGTCCAATGGCGATGCGCGCCACAGAACTCCAAAGTTACGAAGCGTGTGCATCAGAGAAATGCCTGCGACAAGCTTGCGCGCCGGAACGGCACGGCATGGAAGGCCACCGCAAGAACTTCTACAAGAACTTCTACAGCTACATCTCGAGTACATCTCAGATTCCAAAAGCTTAAAAAAAACTTGAAAAGACTGAACTCGATTTGAAAGCCAAATTCCCGACCCGGACACACCCTGTCTGGTTGCTGGCTTGTCAGTTGGAAAACTCTTTCAGCATCAAACATTAGCTTGTTTCAGGTGTTTCCTTGTCTACGTCATGAGTCGCAGTCGTGCTTGTTTGACTGTCCAGCCAGAAAATATACAAACAAAGTGAAAGACAAAGAGTCTGTCTGAGGTCTTTCACATGCAAACACGGTAATTGAACGTTTCTCAGTGCCATTCACAATAATCTGGAGCAATCTCCGCCAGAGTGACAACTCTGTGTGATATTCATTCGGATAAAGAAATCAGCGGTTCTGAGGCACTTAGATGTTGTTTTGGTGGGTGCCCCGTCTCCAATGAGTGCACCAAGGGTCGGATGATACGTCGGATGGTACGTCAGCGAAACCAAGTGCGTGGCCAGTCAGTCCGTTCCAGTGAGGTGGTTCTAAAAAGTCTGAGCTTTGATGTGTTTCTTGAGACTACTAGCTTCTTGCTACAAGTAGCGATGCACTTGTTACTAGGAGCTCGTGTGACTCATGCTGTTTTTAGTTCTGAAATGTTGTTGTCATCTACCCAGCCACATTCATGGACCCAATGCAGCACACAGCCGCCCCATCTTGACACTAGGAAGCATTGACAAAAAAAGAACAGAACACCATCCAAATGCGGCAGACTGTCTGTCCGATATGACATCCGAACAAACTGCCATTTCAGTCGCATGAGTGGAGTGGTTCAAAGGTGTCACGAACAGGGCATGCCTCGCATAATTTCCGTGTCAGAGTGCAGCTTCCTCTCCAAAAGTAAGCTCCTTCGAATCTTACCTCATAGCTCAGATTCACACAGCAAAAGCGGGACCGGTGTTCAAAAAACAAAATTGTCCGTCAAACTGAGCACCTGATATCCAACTTCCATCATTTCCACTACATGATCAAAAATCCAATTAAGAGCAATCATGCCCAATGCTTTGCTTGCTACGTGCTGGCCTGTCTTGCTGACCGTGTTGCTGTTTACTCCCCAGTTTTCGGGATCTTCAGCGGCCTCTGTGACTCTCGTGGTTTCCTCAAAGGACTCGAGGCCTAAGACCTCATCGACACCACAAACTCGATACTGGCTACGACTGCTATGCTTGACATACTAGACTTGCAAGTGGAAACTGGTGGCAGATCCTTCACTCACAGTGTAAAATCTGCAGCGTGCCTCAATGATTTCCTTCTTCGGTGTGTTCGTTGTCTTGCCAGGAAGTGTGACAGATGGAAGTGCTTCTATGGCCTCCACGTCCTCGACTTCATTCTCCCCCGAATGACACTGACAGGGAGATGAAATGCTTGGTGCTGCCCCCATGGCCTGGCAGGGCCAGCGGCCCCAGCACACAGCAGCACACAGCTTGTGCTGACGTGCTTCGCGCGCTTGGGCCAAATGATGCGCAAAAGGTCGGGCTTTGGTGTTGTTGCGCACGTTCGATAGCTTTAAAATCCCACCTGGGGCATCGCTACGTTCGTAGCGCCTTGCTCCTAGCTTTACAATGCCACCTTTGAAAGTTGCTAGTGACACCAGTAGGATTGCTGCATCTGGCCTGCATGCTCTCAATGCAAAGGTCCAGGTGAAAAAGGAACAGTAAATGGATCACATGCTGAAGCTGCAAATCCATACCCAAGGGACGTACACGCAAAGCATGCAGCAAATCCTGACTGAAAGCCAAAAGATCAGAGCTATGTGCCAGTTGAATGCTTCTCTGGCCCCCTGCTTTCCTCCCTCCCTTTTGCTCAAAGCTTCTCATGTTCTTTGCACCAGCTAAGTGCATGTTGCTGGGAAAATGCAACAGCATGCTAGAAAGCAAATGAAGGAAAACATCATTATCGCCTTAAGATGCCTTAAGCATTTTCCTATGACTGCCATCCGTGTCCAAGGAAAGAGTCACAATCCTAGGACCCTTCGGAGTAGAGGTTAGGAGTACAAAGTACCCCAGTTATATAGAATACATGGGACTGACGTAGGTACGACTGCAACTCATGATGCATGCCACTGGCCACTGCCTTGCAATCAATTCATCAGGAAGCGCTTGAGACACCTTACATGCTGGGTCCGTGCGTTAGGGTGCATCTTACACATTCTTTAGAGCCTCGAAGGCCTCCTAAAGATCATACCAAGCCAACCGACCCAGGTCAGCAACACCAATAGAAATTTGAAATGAGATGACGCAAAGCAGTGAGTGGTTTCTTTTTTGGGATTTCTTTTGCTCTTGAGGAACGGACAGGAACAACATCTTGTCCAACGACTGTCAGCTGTGTCGGCTGCGACAGCGCGTTTTTTGGCAGCACAGAGCTCACTCAGGCTGGTCCAAATGCAAGTCCAAAATGGAGAAAAGCATCTCCTCAGAGCCGCATTCTTTGTGGAGGCCATCGCTATTAGGTTGGAGGCCATCGCTCTTAATTAGAAACAAAGAAAAAAGAAAAGGAATGATGGTCTGGTCTTATGTATATATATATATATATATAGTTTGCGACACAAAGGCCCTCAAGAGCTACCCCAAGTCATAGGATCAGGACAAGGCATGCTGACAAAAGAACCCATTGTTTAACAGCTTGGTTTAGATTACAATCAGCCCAACATGGAATTTCCCTAATGTCTCATTAGGGGTCCTGAAAATGCCAGAAGCAACTGCTCATTGTGATCCGAGCTGCAAAAACCGGACAGATCACAGATCCAGCCGCTAGTCACTGTGATACTCGGGTTGCCACTCACGTTTTCGTGTCGACCCCTCGACCCCTCGTCCCGATGCCTGGACCGATTGCATGGAGTTGCTGAAGACCTCGTGGTACGAATAGCCGTAGCCTCAATCCCGTGGATACCCGGTCCAACATGGTCTAACCACTTGCTGTGGCAACAGTGCTGAGTGGAGGACCGACCAAGCATATGCATGTAGGCGCGTGTGTATTTGTGCATATACTGCACTTGTTTCTAAAAGCGTCCTTGTTACTACTAGTAAGGCACTTGTTACTAGTAGCGATGCACTTGTTACTAGTAGCTATATGTTGTCGCCAACGGGTTGTGTCACTCAAAAGGTACACTTCTCGATTGCTGCGTGCCAGCTCGAGGCATGATTTTCGTCACGAGCGTGAGGCTCAAAGCGGATCCACTAAAAGGCAGCGGCAGGAAACAATCTATTGAACCATGCTCAAAAGGGTCACAACTGCACATGAAACATGAAAAGAACCCCTTCTGAGCTTTTGAGCATTCAGTCCCGCTCAGGGAACTCAGCTCCAAAGTATGATGCCTGCCACATTTCGTGATCTTCATGATCATGTGGTTTCAGGGCAAAAAAGGCTTTCTGTTCTTCTTGGAGTTTGGCCTTTCTCAAACGCTGTGCCTTTCTGGCACTCACAAATTCCTGGTTGAAGCGAACCACCCATGACTTGTGGTTGTTGAACAAAGCCATGACCTTGTAGCTCTCGTAAGTCGCCTTTGTCAGGCTATCGGCAAGGTTCAAGTCGGATGGTACCCATGTTGGGTGGCAATTGCTTTCATCATGCGTCCCTCGTTGGACGTGCAACATCTCGACTCCTGTCCTGGCGTTGCTCATGCCAAGCATCACCGAATCGTTCATCGTCAAGGAGTCAAAACATCCACGACTGTCCATGATGAGGAGGCTCTCTGTCTTACTGGCCAACTGGTCAGCATTTCGGCGAGTGAGCTTCTCGCCATTCAACAAGGCCCAAAACAGTCGGAGTCGCCATCCACGGTCTTCTCCTTCATATATTGCTTGCCCTTCAGCTCCATTTGAACCCTTGGACGGACGGTCCAATTTCCAGCTTCGCCAGTCGATGATGCTCATCTTAGCTTCCGATCCAGTAAGGACGATCGGATCTGAGAGGCATGAGACGTGTCCTCCTGTTGATCCTCCTCCAGGCCGATTGTTGAGTCCTGCGTCGGCGAAGTGAGCTGCTATCAATTGGTTCCATTGAAGCTTGTCTTTGCGATGGGCATTGAAGGAATGAAGGACAAGGTCTTCCTTGGCTGTTTTCCGAAGTTCTCGGACAATGGAATTGGCCTCCTTCAGCTCAGGGCCGATGTGAGTAGCCCAATTCTTGCACAGAACTGTGGTGCTGTTTGAATCGCCCTCCATTGAGCCTTCATGGCCAAGCCTCTGGCTTGAGACACTTCTGTTGGGCTGAGTGTGTCAGTCAGCTTTCGCCGGTGCTCATCAGCTATGGACACAGGGCGTAGTGCATTGCAGAAGGTCTCCTGTGTCATGTAGATGGTATAGTCTTTTGTTTGCTTCAGCTCAATTCCGGCAAAGGTGAAAGTGCCAGCTTGCCATGGTGACCACTGGTAGAGGTCTTTGAAGAGCTTGCGATAGTTCTGCCAGTCTTTATCATCCTCTCGACCGGTGATGATGAAATCATCAACATGCGATGCGATCCGGCCACAGATTTTGTTGGCCGAGTTCTTGAACGTCCAGATGCACTTGTCCAAGGAGTGTGGAATACCTCCAATTTTCTGGATCTTCTTGTCACTGTCCCTCCAGAAGATTCTGGGGGCATTTGTGAGCCCGTAAACGGCTCCAACCACCTGCATGGCTTGTCCAGGTGGGATGAAGTGCATGGCTGATCTCTGGTACACCGTAGGTGTAGAGGGGCTTTGTGCCAATGCCTTCATCTGCCTGCAGGAATGCAGACTTGGCATCTGCCGATTCCAACAAATGTTGGTCCAGTGCTGCAGCTTGTAGTACCAATTGTCTGCCAAGCCGGGACAAGGTTGGTGAGGCAGTTCGAAGTTGAGGACGGCCAGTTCTTTCGTCTCGACGTGCAAGGTCAGGATGTTTGTATCCAATGAGAACCACTCTGGCCTTTGCTTTTGCCATCCCGTCTTCTCGAAGTACCGTAGGTGTGCCATCATGTGGTGGCAGTTCAGGTGTCGGAAGTGGTTTCCAGATCAGGATCCACCTCATAGGGATGATTCTTTCTTTCAGTACTGCATCTGGAACTTGTTCTCGGAGGGCTCGAAGAGACTGGGACCTTAGAACTTCAGACACTTCTCGAGCCATTGCTTCTTTCATGAGCTCTTGATGATGAGGTGAGAGCTTTCGGAAGTTGACCTCCTTGTTGGGACCTTGTAGTTTTTCCGCAATGTAGGAGGTGCTATCCATGATGAAAGCTGCCATATTGTCAATCTCCATTTCTATGAAGCATGCCTCTTCGGAGTCCAAAACTGCTTCTGACCTCATGAAGTCAAGGAAGAAAAGTTCTTCAGCTTCGGCTTGATCGATCTCTTTCATCAGCTCTTGTCTTTTGTCTTCTGGTTCATTCTCTTGCCACCTTGCATCCAGTGACCTTCATGTGGAACTGGTCGAGGTGGTCCAAAGTTCTTGTTCTTTCCCTTGGACTTTCCTTTCCAAGGGTATGTACTCGTCGATCGAGGCTGCTTCTGCTGAACGGTTCCTGACCAGCCGCGATCTTTATGAGCTGCTGCAACTGCCTTGCGAGCTTCAACCAAGTTCCTGTCGGTCTCTCCCAACATGGCTTCAAGCTCGCTCTTGTGCTTTTCCATTTCTTCTTGTTCTTGTTGGAGTCGTAGAAGTTCCTCATCGAACTCCTCTCCATTCTCCCATTCACTGGCCTCAAAGTTGTCTTCATCAGGCCATTCACCATAGTCCTCATAGGTGGAGTCCTGGCCGTAGGGTTCATAGGCATAGTAGCCTTCGTGCTCTGCGTTCTGGTCGAAGGTCTCTTCAGCCTCATAGTCCTGGTAGTAGGCGCGGTGCATGTGAGATTGTCGATGTCCACCGTGGCCTCCTCCAGCTTCAAATAGTCCTAGCAGAGCAGTCCTGATCTCACTATAGGCCAGGCGATTCCTGGTGGCCGCCTTGATCAGCCGCCGGTCTTCTTCGGATGAGACAGCCATTTCAAGGACCAGCCAACCCCTGATGACATCGAGGGCGGCCAGCGGCATGAGCCCTTTCTCCATAAGACGCTCCAAGAGGTCTTTGCCGCGCTTCACATCATCTCCATGGGAGGTAGTAGAACTCGTCGAGGATGTCGTCCTGTTCGACTTGCTCTTTCCAGCCCCCTTTGAACTCCTTGGAGTAGCCGAGAAGGGTCTTCCTTGAGACGCACGTGGTGTCTCCGTGCGATCTTCATCAGTCTCTGCTGGAAAGGCTTCGTCTGGGTCAAGGTGGTCCAAGTCATGGTCAGTACCTTCAGGTTCTCCATAGTAAAGGGATTGACCAGCTTGAAGCCCACAGAACTTGCGAAGCTCTTCAAGGTCGACGTCGTAGTCCTCGAACGACAGTTCTTTCTCTCTCAATAGCCTCTGCAAGGCTCTGGTCATGTCATCGTGCAACTTGTCCTCACGGATGAGGAATGCACTGACCCCCTCATGAGGTTTTCTCGACAGACGGCGGTAGTAGCCACCGATCTTGGATCCTGCGTCTGGGAGTGGTTGTTTGTTCAACGGGCTCTCCTCTAGGTACTTGATGAGCTTCGAAACATCGGCCTCAGTTTTGAAGTCCTCAGGCCGCAATTTGTACATGAGTTGGACAAGTGCAGCATGATTCGACTGGAGGGCCTTTCTAACGATCCTGGCGGCAAGCAAAGGTCGTTCGTTTGGTTTGGAACTCTGCAATGCCCATTTGCACTCCACTATGAAGTGTCCGAAGGAATCGCTCCTCCCGTCCCAAGCTGGGACGAAAGAAGTAGCATCCTGCCCCTTTTCCATTTCGTGGCCCACTTTCAAAGGTCTCCTGACCGAACCGTGCTCCGCGGCACCAATGTTGTCGCCAACGGGTTGTGTCACTCAAAAGGTACACTTCTCGATTGCTGCGTGCCAGCTCGAGGCATGATTTTCGTCACGAGCGTGAGGCTCAAAGCGGATCCACTAAAAGGCAGCGGCAGGAAACAATCTATTGAACCATGCTCAAAAGGGTCACAACTGCACATGAAACACTATATATATATATACAACGGAAAGAAGCTCCACAAAACGCGCTGTACTCGCATCGGCTCGTGAAGATGATATGCCATGCATGCTGAATGCTCTGAGGAGCTATGTGCAAATTGCAGCGCTTCATGTGAAGAGATTTGCCGGTCCTTGCCGTGATGCATGTGCGTCCCGAGCAAAACCTAGGTCTGACACAAGCTGACGCCAATACAGCAACACTGCTCAGTTGGCAAAATGCCATTTACCAACCTGTTTGGGTTCGTCCGCCTGAGACATGAAGAATTTGGCTGTTCGTTTCTCTTCGGAGCACGACGATTTTGAGGAGGCTTCTAGGCTTGCGCCCAGAGGCCACTCGTGACAAAAGCAGAAGTTGTTTTTCCTCACTTGTATAATTAAGTAGGCGCCTACTCAATTAAGTAAGGGAGAAGTTCGCTTCTAGCTCTTAAGCTACTACCTACTGGACGCTGGCTAGCTCACGCTTCTTCAAGAAAGCTACCCCGCCTGAGGACGGGGAGCTTCCTTGAAGAAGCGCTCGCACTAATGATTTGGCTTCTAGATTTTTAGGGAAACTTGACTTAACTTCCATACACCAAGTTCAATTAGTCAAATTGCATTTTTGTGGAAGAGGGGATCGCTCTTCTTTGTGGACTTCGGTGTGCCACATTGATGTGTCATATTATCCCATATTAGTAAACGAGGCTGAAGTGATTTGTCTTGCTTGTTAGCTTGTCACCAATGGTCATAATCATGTGTCCAGAGTGGTAAGGTCCGGAATTCTGCTGCGCATGTCGTTTGTGATCGATCTAACCGATATGACCCGTGTGGTCCAAAATCTCCATCCTCGAACGCCAGGCGGCGCGATTGGCTGTCTCACTGGCTTTTTGCTCCACTTGGCGTATCGCCCTCAAACGCAGGTGCAACTGAAACTTGGGGTGGAGGCCATTGCTTCTAGGGTGGAGGCCATCGCTGGTAGGGTGGAGGCCATTGCTACTACTTAATGGTGCGATGGGAGTGAACAAATAAGGCAAAGCGGAGCAAATTCAGTGGAATCATTGGGGCATATTGGGGCACTCGATTTGGGGCGTAAGCTGCTCTTTTGTTCGTCTTGGGGGCGATGGCAGTGTGCCAAACAGAAGCCACAAAGCCGTTTGGACAAAGGAAGTCTCTTCAAATCGCGCACACTAGAGCCAAGTTGCTTCTGAGTGTCTTCCATCGAGCTCTGGTAGTGCAGGCCTGGACAAATAGTGTTTTTTAATGTAAGACAATTGCATCGTTGTGCCTCATTGCATCCTTTTGATGATTGAACTCTGTGCAGCTTCAGAAGACAAATGCTGAAATGCCATGCCCCATCATGACCACCATTGCGCCCAAGAGCTGAAGGGCAGCAAAATCGCATCGACCATGTTGAAAAGCTCATCGGGGCAGTCCTCGCTTGAACTGATGAGGCTAGTAGTCTCCGCTGCTCCTAGTAGTAAGGCCAGGAGCCCCCAGGAGCCCCAGCCCCTAACAACATAAAATCAGTGAAATAGGAGGCCTACTTGAACTTGTTCATTATACCCACCCTTTTCAGTGTTAGTCCCCCAGCTTGTCTCAGCCTCACTCATGAGTCATTCAGCGTGTTTACATGTTTTTGCTCTCTCACTCCGGCTCCCACCAAAATGCCGACTCTGATTGGAAGCCATTGTGTCCATTGTGTGTGTGTGTCCTCTCTTGCAAGTACATGCTGCAGCTCCAATCCCATGAATTGACCATCGCTCCGTTCGAAGACAATCGTCATGGCTTCCCCGCCACGGCAAAGTGGCCTCCGAGCAGGTACAAAATGCAGGGACATGGCGTCTAAGCAAAAAAGAGAGTGGACTAGATGTGTGTAAACAAAAATCTATATTTATTGATCAAAGGTTCGGAACAAATCGCTACTAGGTTGGAGACCATCGCTATTAGGTTGGAGGCGTGCGCGGTCGCCTTGAATTAGGGGCCCCTTTTATAAGGGCTCTTAGTTAAGGGGGCCAAGCATGTTCTTTATCTATCTCGTTTTTAAGATGAGACCGCCACACCAAGGAACAGCACCACTATGCCACTATTCAAGGAACCTTCCTCTTTCATTTCTTTAATGCCAATATGCACTATCAGGTCACTACCCCCCAAGTGCTCAAGAAGGAAAGAAGTGCCAAAAATGCGATGGGATTCCACTTGTGACAGGGAGCTTGAGACAGTGAATTGTAGCGCATTGTGAGACTTCCTCAAGTGGTCAAAGGCACAAAGTGCATCAAATCCATGCCGCAATAGACACATAGATTCAAACAAATTAAGGGGAAACTTAACTACTAGCGATGGCCTCCACCCTAATAGTGATGGCCTCCAAACTA